TTCCCACTGTTGCAGACTGCTTTCAGACTGCTGAAGCTTACAGGGAATCCAGATGTTTTGGATTGTTGGGTGTTTCTGTTTCTGCCTTTGTGAAGCGCTATGAGATGACTTGTTGTTGTAAATATGCGCTATACAAATAAAATTGAATTGAAAATTGAATTGAATGAATGGTGATGACTACAGCCTCAGCCAGTTCCCTCTGTCTCTTAGAGAAGGTCACTACCATCTCTTTGGTCTTATCCACATTCAGTTCAAGACATGATCGATCGCACCAGTCCACAAACTCGGTGAGAGACAAGAAAGCTTGTGCATCATCCACCCCTCTTCCTGCCTAATATATGAAATGGAGTGGGTCTGGCTGAGGACCTACTGCTGTGATGATGTGATCTTTTATCATCCTCTCCAAGGCCTTCATCACGAGAGATATTAGGGCAACAGGCCTGAGGTCGTTTGACACCCTCACAGTGCTTTTTTGGGGGGAGGGGGATCACCGTTGAGTGCTTCCACAGCTGAGGGACTGAGGAGGTAGCAACAGAGTTCTGAAAGAGGAGCTGGAATACTCCGCATAGATCTTATCAGATCCAGGTGCTGTGTTAACTTTAACCTCTTAAAGCCTCTCACCACGTCTTCAGCACTAATGTTGAGTACAGGACCTCCAGTTTTTAGTGAGGAGATGATGGTTCCAAGCTGGGTGCTATTGTCCGTCTCAAATCTTGTAAAAAAGGAATTGAGGTCATTAGGTAGTGATGCTGGCCTCCTGTCCTCAACCTGAATGGTGTTTTGAGAGGTGCCAGAGAGGACCCTGCCAGGCTGCACACAGGTTCCTGCTGTTGAACTTTTGTTTAACTTTGTCCCTGTACTTGAGGCTGGCAAGTTTTGGTACGCTTCACCTCTTTATTGATCTCTTTTTTCCTCTCTATCAGAGCCAGAGAAAAATATTCTCTCTTTCTTGTTGAGGAGACTTGAGTTCTTTCATCACCCATGATTTAGTATTTGGGAAAATGGTGATCGTTTTGGTGGGGATGATGTTATCCACACAAAAGGTAATATATGATGTCACAATGTCCACCTGCTCATTGATGTTGCAAGAGGAAGCTATTGGGTTGCACCACTCCTTGGCTTCAAAGCATCCTTGCAGCTTGTCAATACTGTTACTTGTCCGTTGCTTGACATTTTTAACAACCTTCGCTGCTCTCCTCACAACAAGCACATTGGCTGGTGCAAGCAGAATAGTGGTGTGGTCAGCAGATCCAAGTGGAGGGAGGGCAACAGATTTCTATGCATTAGAAACAGATCCAAAGCATTTATCAAGAGTTTTACCCATGCGAGTGATACAGGTGATATACTGAAAAAAATCTTTTTAAAATGTCTAATCAGCACTTGTGGTGGTTAAAATCACCAAGGACAAATTTTGGACAATCAGGGGACATGTTCCAATCTCTTAAGCACAGTCCTGATGTGGTCTGAAGCTGCAGCTGCCTTTGCTTTAGGGTGGATGTAGACCAGGATAAACAATAGCTGGGGGAATTCCCTAGGAAGTTAAAAAGGATGAAGGAAACAGCCAGGAGTTCAATGTCCGTGGTGCACAGACTCTCCCTCACTATCACAGTAGAACACCACCGTTTGTGAACATACAGGTATACACCGCCACCATGTTTCTTGCTTGTCAGCTGACTGTCGAGCCTTACTGGTGTCCCAAAGCCATCCATATGCAAAGAACTGTCACTGTCATTGCTGCTTAGCCAGGTTTCGGTGAATGCCAAAATTGCAGCAGTCCTGTATTCATGCATATACGCTGAGTTAGCTCGAAGTTCGTCTGTCTTGTTGTGTAGTGAACGCACATTGGCTAGGATGATGGAGGGAAGCGGCTGATGTTTACCTCACTCCCATTTGAGTCTGGCCCTCACTCCGCTCTTTTTCTTTTTTCCCCTCCGGGTCTTCTTCTGTTAGTGTCCAAGGCATAGCTGGATGAGTGACCGCGTAGTACATCCTCTGGAAGCTTCACTATATCCATTTCAGACACTTGGTTGGTGTGAAGCTGAAGCTGTAGCAGGAAGTCCCTGAAGTATGTAGCACGTTGGCTCATTGCCATGCCAACCAAATAATAAAAGTTGTAAAATCACCAATATATATATATTTTTAAAAAGTCCAGATAACCCAAACAGTCCCATGTTAAGACCAGTGAAAAAAGGTTTTAAAAAGCGATTAAAAGGTTAAAAAGACATAAAGAACAGAATTACTCAGTGAGCCGACAGGTCAACCACACGAGTAGTGACCCAGAAGCTCAAGCGCATCTTTAAAAAAAAAAAAACTATCTTACTGTTGACTATAAATTATTTTGTATGTTGACAGGACCTACCAGATTGTTGGGGTTGGTCATCAGTTTGAGGAGAGCAGGGTGGTTGTAGCCTGAGGGAGGACACAGTGGTTTTACAAAGAGAGGCACATGTCTTTCTAAATAAAAAAAGAATCAATGCGTTCCACAAAAAGTATACAATAAAACTCAGTAAATCCCTCAAATCACTAAAATGTAACTCAAATGTATCTAACAAAAACTGCATTGTTTTTAATGTAGTTAAAGTGTTGGTTATCTTGCAGTATGTGTAATAAAAAAACAAGTCAGATAAGTAATATTGAAAATATCGCCCTCAAAGGGCAACTACAACACAAAAGTGAGTGCACTTGTTAATATAAAATACTTGGTCACAAAACTTAAAAAATATTATTGGATAGCCTAATCCAAGCAGGATAGAGTTCTGAAACTACAAGATGGTGCTCAAAAAATAACTAAGAAAGTTTGTTTTTGAATACAGGCACATAATGTTTTTAGTCACTTCAGGCATCACACATATAGCTCAATGCGTTGCCCTACTACTTACTGTAAGACATGCTTGAAGGTAAAGTCTTAAGCAGTTATTATACATTTGGAACCAGAAGTTGACATACACTGTATAAAAAGACATAACCTTCCCCCTATTTGTGCCCAAGCTTTAATTTCCTGGCTGATGTCTTGAGATGTTGCCTCAATATTTCCACATAATGTTCTTCCCTCATGATGCCATCTATTTTATGAAGTGCACCAGTCCCTCCTGCAGCAAAATACCCCCACAACATGATGCTGCCACCCCCGTACTTCACAGTTGGGATGGTGTTCTTAGGCTTGTGAACTTTCCCCTTTTTCCTCCAAATGTAACGATGGTCATTATGGCCAAACAGTTCAATTTTACTTTCATCAGACCACAGGACATGTCTCCAAAAACTAAGGTCTTTGTCCCTGTGTGCATTTGCAAACTGTAATCTGGCTTTTTAATGTTGCTTTTGGAGTAATGTCTTCTTCCTCTCTGAGTAGCTTTTCAGCCCACGTCAGTACAGGACTGGTTTCAGTGTGGATAACGACACTCTCTTACCAGCTTCAGTCAGCATCTTCACAAGGTCTTTTGCTTTTGTTCTGGGGTTGATATGCACATTTCACACCAAAACACTTCATCTCTGGGAAACACAATCTTCTCCTTCCTGAGCAGTATGATGGCTGGACATTCCCACAGTGTTTATACTTGTGTATAATTGTTTCAACAGATGAACGTGAAACATTCAGAAATTGTACCCAAGGATGACCCAGACTTGTGGAAGTCCACAATTCTCTTCATGATATCCTGGCTGATTTCTTTAAATTGTCCCTTGTTGTCACAAAAGTAAGCAGTGTGTTCCAGGTGTGCCTTAAAATACAGCTTGTGACATTGGTCTTGAGGGTCTAGTTCAATGGAACATGAAGGAAGAGTATCATCCTATCAAACAGGTTCCACAACAATCATGTGAATAAATTCATCACTAAAGTGTTGCTCGTATAAGCACATCCAATTACCATTAAATATATATTTAGTTTGGATGTGAAATATATCTTTTGTGACACCAGTCCTGAAACTTTTCTGACACACCTTGTGTAGGTATGCTCCACAGGAGTTGCATCCATTCCTAGCAATCACTTTATTTCTGTCTTAAGTGCCTGTGTGCACCAGTCCTTGATACATCTAATCTATAACATGGGGTTTCCCATTTTAAAAAATGGGTACCATCACCTCGGTTTGCCACTTCACTGAAGAGAAGTGTCAGTCAAGACAGTCCAACAATGTCCAGAGCCTTAGCATCTCAGGGTAGATGTCACTCACACCTTGTGTCTTGCCACCAAGGAGTTTCTTGACTACCTCAGAAACCTCTACCATGGATATGGGAAAAGCTTCCCTTGAGTCTTCAGGCTCTGCCTTCTCAGCAGAGGCCATGTTACCAGGGTTGAGGAGTTCTCTTTTCACCACTTGAAAATGTCCCCAGGCCAGGTTAGCACTTCTCCTTCCTGGCTGTACACAATCTGTGCCAAGCCCTGCCTCTCCTTCCTGAGGTGTCGAACAATTTGCCAGACCTGCTTTAAAGCCCACCAAAAGTTTCCATAGCCTTTCTAAAATTGTCTCATACCTGAATTCTGCTTCCGCAACTGCTGCAGCCCTTTGGGCCGACCATGACCTATCTGCTGCCCACTGAGCATACCAGGCCCGAAAGGCCTTCTTGTTCAGTCTAAAGGCCTCCTTTACCACTGGCGTCCACCAGCAGATGCCGTTACGACAGACACCAGTGACCTTCTGATCTCCTAACAGTCACTTCTGCAATGGCGGTTTTGTGTATGGCCCACACAGACTCCAACTCCTCAGCCTCCCTCAGGATGCAGGAGAAACTAATCTTGCTTTCTTGAACGCAGAAAATCTTTTTAATAAAATTGAAATCGTGCCTGACAATAGGTGCCTGATCATTTAACTATAACTGCTCTGCTATGAGACACT